TGAATGTTCATACCACTCTTACTACTACTAAGTGAGCATTCATGTTCATGTTCATTCTTAACATTCTTAATGCCTCATGTTCGTGTTCATTCTTAATGCCTCATGCCTCATTCTTAACATTTTTCATGTTCATGTTCATTCTTAATGCCTCATATTCATTTCTAACATTTCATTTCCTTTTGTTTCCATTTCCCCTTATATTAGAACTCTATATTTCTGGGTTAGGAAATCTTTACTTTTTAAGCTATATGAAATTTCAATTTCATTTGGAAACATGATGCATTCTTAGCTTACTCATAACAGAGTAGGTATTTGAATAGATTCTTAGCTTATTGTTGATAAAGGACCTTTGATAGTAAAGAAGTAAGCCTCTCTACTGCTAAGTGGAAACAAATTAACAGTGGTTCCCTCAACATTCTATGGGCAAAGAAGAAGAGGATTCTTGAGGCCCAGATTAATGTCATTATTCCAACTAAAAAAGATGAAGCACCAACAAAAATTTGAGACACCAAACTGAGATAGAAACTGGAGAATGTAAGAGAGGATGAGAGGAAAAAAAATCAAATGTTGATGAAACAAAAAAATTGGGAAAAAATTGAATAGATTAAACACAAATTTGTTTCCACAACAAACCCTAGATCATCAAAAAAAATTGAAAAAAAAAAAATCAAATCAACAATAAATCCATTTCTACAACAAACCCATCAAACTCAATAAATCAAACCCATCAAATCCAATAAATCAAACGCATCTATTTTTTTGAACAACAAATCAAACTATGGCAACAAATCATATATATATATATATATATAAGAGTAAAAAAAATGAGAATGAAAACGAAGGGACGAAGGGAAAAAAATGAGAATCAACAAACGGACCTCGTCGCCGTCGCCTCCCCCTCTTTGTCTGTCTCCTGCTGTTTCCCCTCGCCTCACCACTACCGCCCCTTTCCTCGCTGTAGTCGCCTCGCTATTCGTCTCACTATGGTTCAAACACCAGACAATAAAAAGTGGCTGAAGAGCAAAATATAAGAAGTGAGAGAAAAAGAAAGAAAGAAAGAAAGAAAAAAAGAAAAAAAGAAAAAGTGGTTCAAAACGACGTCGTTTTGAACCACCACAAGGGCCACCGTAGAAAACTACAGCAGAGGATCTAGACTCAAAAAATAGAGGTGATAAACGAATAGGTTTGAATCAATAACGCTATATGTATCAATTAATATATTAATTAGTATATTAATGGACGATGTGTCATAATGTTAAGGATTTTTTATATTTGTAATTTGTATAATGGGTGAGATCAATAATAATGTCATAATGTATGTTGTTACACTAGTTGGTATACTATTTGGTACATATAGCACCATCGGATTTAAATTGATTAAAATGGGTATTCATTTAAAATAATGTAATTCAAATTCATTAATCTTTGACTTTTTAAAAAAAAGATATGTAGAAAAGTAAAGAGAGTGATATGATAATTTATAATATTTTTTGACTTTTTAACTAAAATATATAATTGTCAAACGAGATTTTGAAGAGATTGAATTTAATACGAGTTGAATAAATGAATTTAGTCAATCTATTTACGTTATCAATTTTCTTTGGTGGCGGTGATGAAGTGGCAAAGATCGTGATATTAGAGATGGAGTGGCAGCTACAATAGCAATAGAGTGGTGGAGGTAATGGTCAATGGTCATTGTAGGGGCGTGACAGTAGTGGAGAAAATGATATTGATTCAAATGGATGTCAAATTTATTTAAATTTAATTTTAGGTTTATCTTGGTAATTAGAAAAAAAAAATCAGTTAATAGTTTATTTGGATTGTATCATCTCTTTACTTTTTTTTATTTATACCTTTTTTAAAAAAATTCAAAAAATTGATTTTTTCATACTTTTCAAAATAGGCCTTAATCGACTTTATAATGAGCAATACATTTAAACTATTTATTGATTTACACTGGCCTTGTTTGGCAAGTGACAATATAGTCAAAAAATCACTATAAATTATCACACAACTCTCTTTACTTTTCTGTATATTTAAAAAAAAAATTAAAAAACTAACTAAAATAGCTACTTTGCAAATGAGTCCAAATAAGTTTTACATAGGTGTAATTGGATAGATTCATGTATTTAGATTAAGTTTGACACCCCTAGCAATAAGAGTGTCTCTAACGATACATCGATTTTTTCATTAAATTTGAGTAAAAGTTTTATTTGATATCAAATACTTTAACGGAGGATTTTAGAGTTTCATCAAAACACCGGTCGATTGGGCGAATGTTCAACCAGTCGACCGACCAGTGTAATTTTTTTTTTTTTTTTGCCTTGAGTTGGTTGATTGGCCAGTGCAGTTTTTTTTACAAAATTTTGCCTTGAGATAGTCATCCGGAAGAACATCCATGGGGACATCCGCAATGACAATGAACAGTGATTTGATAAAAGACACATTTGTCTTCAGTCTAGTGAAAAAAAAAGTGATTCTCAATTTGATACCTATTTGATGCAATCGTTGGAGCAGGAAAAGAACTCATTTTTCATCAAATTCAAATTTCATGAAAGCTTTAGGTAATCATTGGAGATGATCTATAACACAGTCTATATAGATTGTTTGGGAATTTTTAAAGAAGTCATGTTTTTGTTTTAATTTTGTTTTTTGTTTTTAATAACCTTTTTACAAAATTATGTCAATTTTTACGAATCTATAAAGTAAAAAAAAAAAATTAAAAATAAGAAAATAATAAAAATCCAAAATAAACTATAAAAATTCACACTATGTTTGTTTTTATTTTTTATTTTTGGAGAATATTTTTTAACCTTTTAAAAATTTACAAAATTTCTGACTCGTCTGGTTGAAAAGAATTTAAAATTTTAATTTTTTTTTCAAAAAATCACTAAAAACAAAAATAAAACCAACAAAAAGTTGACCAAAAAAGTAACTCCAAACAACTAAAAATATTATGGTACAAACCCCTCAAATATACATCTTATAATTAAAAAAAGAAAGATTAACACTTGAGAACTTCAAAATGGGTGACCCCCAATTGATCCACTACCACTTATTATGTATTTTTTTTTGTTTATCTGTCTCTCCCTCACAGGTGCGTGGGGTTGAGTTTTGTGAAAGTCTATATCAAAACCAAAAAAATGAAATAATTTCATAATTTTTTAGTCATAATTTTAAAAAAGAAATTCATAACTAAACACAATTTGAGACATAACTAAAAATCATATAAGTCATAACTAAAATAATGTTAAGTAAAGAAAAAAATAATATAATTAAAAGTGTATATAATACACCCCTTTCAAGTGTTTGGATATTAAGGTCAAGTTTGGGAAGTGTAAAAAAAGTCAAAAAGTTATTCAAAAAGTTAAAAAGTTATCATTATTCATCAAAATTCAAAAATTATGCACAACTCCCAATCTTAATTTTCCTCTCCATAGTAATTTATACAATTTTTTAATACACATTTTTCTATAAAAAGTCAAAAAATTAACCCAAACATCCATATTTTTTTCCTCAACTTTTTAATCCAAAAAGATAAAAAGGACACTTATTTAGGACATCCCAAACAACCCCTAAAATTTTCCCAAACAACTTCATTTCTATATTTTCATTTATTCTCATTCAAAAATGCTTTAGACCACTAATTAGTGGTGGCTCTAATGATGTGGCAGTAGGTCTCACCAACTGCCACATGTGTTTTGTGCCTTGTTTTTTTTTTTTTTTTTTTTTTCAATTGCCACCTCACTAGTGGTGGGATTAGTGATGATAAATTAGTGGTCTATAGTATTACTCTAACATTTTATTTCACTAATTTAAATTTAAAGAAAGATTGTCAGTACGTTAAATGGACGTTAAGTATGGAAACGACTACGGTTCAATTAATACTAATCGGACATGGAGAGAGACTTTTGCCTAATCGGACATACAGAGAGACTTTGTTTGGTTGACTATTATGTGGTGGAAAAAAAAATTTAAAAATTTATTTTTTTAAAAATTATTGAAAAAAAAAATTAAAATAACTTTTTCCTCCATTCCATATTGATCGATTGCTTATTTTCTTTTTTTTCTCTCTTTTGATCACATTCTACACATCATTTAATCACTTTTCTCTCTCACACCCATTTGTTCAGTTATAAAAAAAATTAAATAATCTCATACTCTAAAAGTCCAAAATTATTTTTAAAAAATATAATTAAACAAAATTTTAAATTTTGTAAACTCTTTTTAAAAAAACCAAACATGACCAAAGTGTCATGCCCATTTGAAATTAAAAGATATTATTCCCTCCGTCATAATTTATTTGTCTGTTATGAGGAATCCGACTTATTAATGAAACAAATAATTATTACACGTCAATTTAGAATTTAAAATATTTTTACCATAATATTTTTCGATTTTAAATTTTAAAATGTGTTGGTACTTGTGTATAATGGACAATTTTTAAAAATTTAAAAATTTCAATATCCAAAATAAAAAATGGACAAATATGTTAAAATGGATCAAAATAAAAAGGTGTATAAAAAAAAATTGGGACAGTGGGAGTAATTAGGCCCCGACCACAAAAAAAAAAAAAGTCATTTATTTTTTTGAAATTTTTTGTCTTTAGTGATTTTTTTTGAAAATTATGTCAAATTTTTTTTATTTTTCGATCCATTTTGTTGAAATGAATTTAAAAAGTATATTTAAAAAAAAATTCCAAAAAAAATACTAATTTTGACTTATTTTTGTCTTTTCTAATTTTTTTTTTTAAAAAAATTATATATTTTTGATTTGTCAAGCTAAATTTAAAAATCTAAAACTTTTTAAAAATTTTTAAAAAAGTACCAAAAATCAAAATAAATAAATAAAAACAAAAAAAAAAAAAATCCAAAAATACACTTCCTAAAACATCCTTTCGTAAAGAGAGACTCGTGAATATCTTGGGTCACGGCTTTGACTGTTGTTCAGTATCTTTCTCTCTCTTAAAAAAAAAAAAAACAAATAAATAAATAAAATTGTAACAGTTAGTCACTGCCCTAGAAGTCTCCGCGAACCTTCCCTCCATATCTGCCCCCTCCCTTTAACTCTCTTCTCTTTCAAACCTCTCTCATCACAACTCCCTTATCGAAGACATCACAGGCTCCAACTCTTCTCTCAAACTCTGTGCCTTGGTATCATCAATCTTCATCTTCTATCTTTGCTTAATCCTTCCATTTTTCACTTGTTACTCCAATTATCATACTTTTGTGTCCTAATTTTGCTTTGTTTCGGTTTAATTCTTCTCAATTTTGCTCTCTATTATATTCATTTGCTTGATTCTGTGTTCGTATCCTATTTGCGTTCAAATTGTGCTTTTCACTGTGGAAATTTTAGTCTTTTTGATTATATATAGGATGATGAAAGAGTGAAAATTTCATTTCCCCCCTTTTTTTGCTAATTGGAAGTGAACAAGTTTTTCGTTGGCTCTGTCCTTGAAGGTTTTGGGTTCTTATAGCATGTTTGATTCCATTACCAGGAACTGTATTTTTTAAAAATAAATGTAGGAAATAAAATGACATGGAAATAAAATCACTGGGTCTTTTATTTTGTTCAGGATTTCTTCAATATGAAAAAAAGAATAAGATGTATTTGTCTTGTTTTATTTTCTTCTTCATCTTCTTGTTTGTGCGTGTGTTTAGTGAAGCAAAACGGTAAGGAATAGTGTATTATTGAAAAATGCTTGTTGTTCTATAGTTTTCGGAAAGTTTGATGGTGAGTTTTGAGAAAAAAACAATATGTTTGTTTCTTTATTTTAGGTTTTTAAATTTTAAACAGTGGGGTCTTGCTGTTGGAAGTGTTTGTTAGTATGCCAATGGCTTATACTAACTTTGGAACCTTGGGGAAATATATATTACTTGTCATTTTTTTTATTCCAATTTGGGTTTTAGAACTGCTTGATGTAGCTTTATCTGCTTGTCATGCTTTAACAGTATAGTTACTTATATCAGCGGATTACCTATCACTAAAAATCGTCTGTCTCTTTCATGAACATGTATGTAGAAATATATTTTTACCATAAAACTGTTGGTGAAAGATGGTTAAGGTATCATTGCTTGCCTTGAAGAAAATGGTTTCTATCTCTTTCATTGTCATTTTTCAATCATATGAACTTCTGTATTGTTAGTGGCTGTGTTTCTTTCAATGTGATTACGACCTCTTCTTTATAAATCAGGTTTTTATACTGCACGGGATGGACAAGTTAGCTTGCAGTTGCGAAAAATGGAGATGATCTAATACGGAGCTTTTATCATAATACATCTCCAGGGATTGACATTCATCAGTCTCTGGATGATGTACTGGTAGCAATTGGTGTATCAAGACTCTCCAAATTATTGTTAGTATCTCAGAGATTGATAATCTATTTTGGACACTGTATCATATGTAAGCTGAAGTGATGAATTCCCCGCAAGAGAAGTTTGTGAGGTTAGTTTTTTTTTTAACCCTTTGTACCCTCTATTCACCATGTTCATGTACTGTGTTTGATCCTAGGTCTTAATTTTATGTACTGTTAGATAGCATCTTCTTCCTATGGGAGGAAATAAATCATAAGAAGTTGAGTTTTGTATTGTATTGAATATTGAAAGTCATTTTGCTAGCCAAGGAAAGATTTGATACAGCAAATGGTTATGTGATATTATTGAGGTAGCAGCAAGAAGGACAAGATGGGAATAAGTGCTCAATATGACTTGGTTGAGACAATGGCAAGAGAGAAGGATCTGACAGCTTGAGATCAATCTCCCTTCCCCTCTTTCATGATCAAATCAAGAAGTTTTTATTCCAAGAGAACAAGCAGTCGCTGAAAACCAGTGACTGCATCTGTAAAACGGAGCTTATGTTTTAGGTGAAAACGATAAGGAAACCATATTAAGAAGTGAGTCGATCAATTACGTTTGACATTATGGTCAATGATGCAATTTAAGATTTGGTCACGAGTAAAGCTTAAAGGTAGCTAATTCTTGAGGCTGATTCCAAGAAGGCATATTTTTATTGTTGTGAAATGATGATGAGGACCATGGATTGCTTTCTAACATATGTGATATATTTGAAGCTTTGATGTCAAGACTAAAATTTTTGTATGGTGATATCAACATTGTAGGCCCCTCAAGGCGATGTTCTAGGCACAAGTTCAAGGGTGTTAACTAGGCCCTTTGACACTTATTTATCAAAAAAAAAGAAAAGAAAAAAGCTAGGCCCTTTGATACTTTAAAGTCTTATATACTTGATGGATCTTATTTAATAATGGTTTTTATGTGGACTAGTCTCATATCATAGACTATATAAGAGGATTATATATTTGCGTTTAAATTTTTTTTTTTCATGATGAAAATTCAATTGAAAACTTGTTACTATGAAGCGTTTACTTGAAGGGCATAAAGGTATAGGCATAACTTTTGCAGTTGGTTATTTAGTAATGACCTGCTTATAATAATAAGTGCACCAACCTCTTACAGACCTTGATGTTATGCTCAAAGCCTTCTTTCACCAACTTCTAGTTATTATCTTATAGTTTTTTCCGCAATTTTTTACTACTAATGTCCTGTCTGGTACTGGATTGTGGAAGATATTGCAATAAGAGGGTTACCTGGTCAAATGTAATTTGAAGACCTATAAGCTCACTGCAATTGCAATGATTTTTGTTGGTAGTGGTGGATGGTAAATAAATAGTTTCTCTGAATTGTTTCCTTAAGTTTTAGGTCATCCAGGTTATGCCAGTCAGTGTTTGGGTGTTTTCTTCTCTCTTCAAGTTTTGGTTATTTTTTTAAACAGCTTTTAGCATAGCTGAAGACCACGTTTTCCTTTCCTTTGGAGTTGATGTTCAAAATGATGTATGACTCCATTTGTATTCTAGTACAATTGATGCAGCTCTGGATTGATATTTGAGTTTATTATCTTCAGGTTTCAGGACTGGAAATCAGAGAAAAGTACTGAGGAGCAATTCTCTACAAAAGATGTGGTACATTCGGGGAATATTAGAACAACAATAAACTCAGTTACTGATAAGTTTCGAAGAGGCTTGGAATGTGCTTCTGAAAGGATTAGAAGCTTAAAAAGATCACTGGAATCCCGTTCTTTAAGTAGTATTGCAGTCAAAGACTTGGGTTCAAGGAAGAAAATCCTTGACCCACAAGGGCCATTTCTTCAGAAGTGGAATAAGATCTTTGTATTGTCGTGTGTTCTTGCTCTTTCTCTCGATCCTTTGTTCTTTTACATTCCTATGATCAATGATGATGAGAAATGCCTTTTGTTGGACAAAAAGTTGGAGAAAACGGCTATCGTGTTGCGGTTCTTTACTGATATCTTTTATATTATTCATATTATCTTTCAATTCCGAACTGGTTTTATTGCTCCCTATTCTAGAGTATTTGGAAGAGGTGTTTTGGTTAAAGATGCTTGGGCAATAGCAAGGAGATATTTGTCCTCGTACTTCTTAATTGACATTCTGGCAGTTCTTCCTCTGCCACAGGTACGAGAGATTTCCTGCAGCCAAAATGTGTTTTCTATAAAAAAAAATAAAAAATAAAGATTGATTGCACAAAAGATAAAGGGTGAGCCTATTGCCAGAGCAAGGTACAACTGTTCAATGCATTAACAGGTTGTACTTTGTCTGAACCCCTGCCAGATTGCTCTGACAATAGAGTTGACCAAAGAAGAGTATAATATTATTGCTTGTTTCATTCATGCAAAACTCATCTTATGATGGTTGATTAATGAGGCCTTCTTGGCATATTATGACCTCACATGTGCCCTGGGAAATTTTGTCAAAAACCAAAGATTCAATTGGACAGTTCACTTCATCCTGGGACACCGAAGTTGTGATGCCCAACTGCATGTGTGGTTGCAAATTGGGTTTCTAATGATAGTCTTTTGAAGAATTCTATTCTTTCCAAAATATAGAAATTGGAAGCAAGCTAATATCTTAGGCCCTGTTTGATTCCAGATTGTATATAAGGGGTTCAGGAGAATATGTAATACTCAGGATATAATGTATTTAGAATATGAGATGGATTATATAGTGTGGGATCACTTATACTATGTTTAGTTAGGGTAGGACACAACATGGGATAAGAGGAGGGTGATTCTTTTTGACCATTGGATGAACGATAACTCGTATCCTATGGTGGGGGATATGTAATACCACGGGGGGTGTGGTATTGTATATCCTATACTTTTGAGGGATATAATATACCACCTGATTTCATATCAGGTAACCAAACAAATGATATAAAAAAAGGTGGGATCCACATGTTTTTCTTTGTCCCCGATATCTGGTCAAAGGGGATATCCCTCGGTATATAACACAATCAAACAGGGCCTTACTGTAAATCACATTAATATTTATTTGTGTCTATTTTTTTAATCTTTCCAGGTGGTTATTTTGTTTATCATTCCGCACATGAGAGGGTCAGCATCTTTGAATACAAAGAACTTATTGAAGCTTGTTGTTTGCTTCCAATATATACCAAGGGTTCTTCGGGTTCGTCCATTGTACAAAGAAGTCACAAGAACTTCTGGGATACTCACTGAAACTGCATGGGCTGGAGCTGCATTTAATCTCTTTCTTTACATGCTTGCTAGTCATGTAAGTTTGGTCATAGTCTTCATTACATTTTTGTTGTCAAAATTACGTACGCTTTAAGCTTGACCAAAGCATATGCTCATTTAATTTTGTTTAGTTTTTCTTATTTTTGAAGGTTTAAATGGGTTTCCAGTGTACCCTATAAGTTTGATGTGTCTCTATATTATACATCCTAAAGTTTCTATAATGTGGGCATTAGAAATTCACCAACCAAAAAAAATAAAATAAAGAAGAATAAGAAGACTACTACTATTTTTATAAAAGCTAATTAGGTATTTGTGACGACAGAATTTTTTTGACTTTTTCAGAAAGCTTGGCTAACAGTCTTCTTTTCCTAAAGAGTGGCCTGCTCTTTAGGTCTTCTTTGTTATCAAGCTCTCAAGTTGGCTTATGGCATAGATCTGGTGAGGTAGAGTGGCTTTTTCAAGATAGATTTTGAGTTCTATCTTGAGAAGCTTCACGTATTTGGAAATAGAGAACCTATAAATATACCAACCCCAGTTTAGTCTTACGAATAACTTAATAAGTGGACTCCATTTGACTCCATAGAAGTATTATCAAGAATCAACTTGTACTTCTGTTCTTTCTCTTCTCACCAGTCTTTCTTATCATTAAGTGATTTGATGGTTTTTAGGTCCTTGGAGCCTTGTGGTACTTGTTTTCTATAGAACGAGAAACAACGTGCTGGAAACAAGCATGTGACAAGGCTGGAACATGTGCCAATTTTTCAGTGTATTGTGGACAAAATGCAGGATTTGGCCTTCTGAATACTTCCTGCCCCATACAGACACCAAATACTGCACTTTTTGATTTTGGAATTTTTCTCAGTGCACTTCAGTCTGGTATTGTTGGATCAACAGATTTTCCACAGAAGTTCTTTTACTGCTTTTGGTGGGGCTTGCAAAATCTGAGGTATGCATAGATGGATCCTTTGATATGCATAGTCATTTTTACTAGAGTAGTTCTAGATACTATTTTTCATCGACAAACGTAAACATTTGCTTACCGATATGAGTTAGTTTGGATAGGACTCCAAATTTTTTTAGTTGCACATGTAATGAAGTATGAGAAGAAAATAAAATTATAGGCTGTAGTTCACCTAGAATTTGTGCCATGTACACTTTTACACTGCTCGATCAGTCCTTGACTTTTTCCCTTATATGATGTTGCATTATGTATGTCACACATGCAAAGCTGGATGTTTCTTTTCACTTCTTAACTTACGGGTGGATGTTTGATGCTGGAAGAGAAATTGTACTGGCGTGATTGCATTATTTTAGATTAAAGAGTTTAATAATAGCAAAAATAGATGAATGGTTGAAAATTGAGGTTGTTATGTCAAATTTACTAGGAGTTTGTCTCTAAACCCCGTTACCTATCCCACTTCTCACAGCTGTAGGTAACATAGTGTTGTTTGAACTAGTTGGGGTAAACTCTGGGAGTCCTGTTTTCCTGGCCTGTCCTTATTTCTTGGGATTTGACATTGGTTATTGCCTTCTCAGATCTGTTACTATTCTTGACATGTGTATTAGGGTATGACACAAGTCATGACATGAGGCGAGATTCTCTGTCTGCCTCTTTCTTTCTCTCACTCATGCTTATGTATATATATGCTTCTTGTTGATATTTCTGCAATATACGTGTTTATATTTACATTTCATTTATATACGTATATATGTTTATGTCTTGTATATTTATCTATACATATGGTTATTGTTGGAAATTCCTGCCTTGGTGGTTTGGCCGGTGGCTTCTGTTTTCCTTATTTTTAGTGCCAAGTATATAACTGGTCTTATTCTATGTGATGGGACTTCTTATTTTTCCAGTTGATGAATCCAAAAATCTATAATTTTCTTACCTTTAGAGTTGCACTATAGTTGCCACTTCTAACACGAGTCTGGTAGTTTTTTTAACTTGTCAACTTATGCAGTTCTCTTGGTCAAAACCTCAAAACAAGCACCTTTGTCTGGGAAATTTGCTTTGCAGTTTTCATTTCCATCTCTGGCTTGGTGTTATTTTCATTTCTCATCGGAAATATGCAGGTTGGTTTTGAACTTTTTTATATTATTGCTCATTTTCTCTTATAGTCTGAGTTGCATGTGAGCATGAGAATCAGTGGCGTCTTAGTAGAGAACTGCACAAACGTGATTAACATTGTGACTTAGTAATCATGGGGCACACAATGGATTGTTGGAACCAAAAAATTGAGTCACCTTGAATACCTGGTCACTTATGTTTTCGAATGCTGAAAAAGTGCTTTTGTTTGGGCTGCATTTGGTGCACTAGGACCAAAAATGGTTCACAGGATCTGCCCTTGACATTGTCTTTGCAAGCCAGAATGATGTTTCTTAATTGTGGCACATTCAATAATTTTCAAAATGAAGTATATTTTACCACTCTTCACCTGGATTGAATCACTCCTTACAGGCGCATTAATCGGTCAACAACACACATGATCGTACCATCTCCAATGGTTTCCCTTCATTTTCCTTTCCTCATTCTAACTAATTTACTCCTTATGGGGTCACATTGATCAAATCATTCTTTTGTTTGGTCTATATATTGGAAAATTCAACAACTAACTCACTTTTGGTGTAACAGACATATCTGCAGTCCACAACAAAAAGATTGGAGGAGATGAGAGTCAAAAGGCGAGATGCAGAACAGTGGATGTCCCACCGTTTGCTTCCTGAGAGTCTGAGGGAGCGAATTAGGCGGTATGAGCAGTACAAATGGCAGGAAACTAGAGGTGTTGATGAAGAGTATCTGATCTATAATCTTCCAAAGGACCTTAGGAGGGACATTAAGCGCCATCTCTGTTTGGCTCTGCTCATGAGAGTGAGTTTCTTTTGCCTCTTCATTGTTATCTCTTTTTGGTATTTTAATTTTAATGTACCGTACTGTTATTATCATGAATCAAATCTCATCCATTCTTCTGGAATGTTTATAAGGTGCCAATGTTCGAAAAAATGGATGAACAACTGTTGGATGCAATGTGTGACCGTCTAAAACCGGTTCTCTACACAGAAGGCAGCTACATTGTGCGAGAGGGGGACCCAGTTGACGAGATGCTCTTTATAATGAGAGGAAAGTTAACTACCATAACTACCAATGGCGGAAGAACCGGCTTCTTGAATTCTGATTATCTCAAAGCTGGTGACTTCTGTGGAGAAGAGCTACTTACTTGGGCTCTAGACCCCCATTCTGTATCTAACCTACCAATCTCAACCCGAACTGTCCAAGCTCTCTCGGAAGTTGAAGCATTTGCCCTAATTTCGGACGATTTGAAATTCGTCGCTTCTCAATTCAGGCGACTACACAGCAAGCAGCTCCGCCATACTTTTAGGTTTTACTCGCAGCAATGGAGGACTTGGGCAGCTTGTTTCATACAAGCAGCGTGGCGTCGTTATGGAAGAAAGAAGCTTGAAGAGTCTCTTTGTGAAGAGGAAAATAGATTGCAAGATGCGTTGGCCACGGATGGTGGGAGTTCACCGAGTTTGGGTGCTACCATCTACGCTTCTCGGTTTGCCGCTAATGCTCTCCGTGCTTTGCGGCGCAATGGGACCCGGAGAACAAGGTTGCCCGAGAGAATACCTCCGATCATGCTTCAGAAGCCGGCTGAGCCTGATTTCACTGCTGACGAATGATTAGTGCTGTTAATTTCTCTACTGTTTTGTCGGTCTAGGTTGTGCAAAATGTGATATTGGAAGCACACATTGATTAAATTGTTGGAGTTTCCTCGGGTGTATCATGTATGTGTATATATATACATATGTAGTGTTGTATTGTGTATGTGAATTTCCTCTTGTTTTTCTAGTGATAATTGAGTTTCCTCTACCATGGGATTTTGCTAAATACTGAAATGTTGCCCATTGCTTTTCTGCTGAAGATTGGCATTAGAGTTTCATCTGCTGACTTCTCAAATAAAGGGAACATAATTTCAAAGCAAACATTTTTAGTTCATAATAGCTGCTCTCCCAAGGTGCATTCAGTGGCAACTTTGAGAGTGAAATTACTTTCATGGACAAAACAGGAACATGAACTAGAAATTGGAAGGGTTGGGCTTGCTCAAGTTCAAATATGAACTTAAGAGCCTGTGTAGCTCATTCCATTTAAATAATCTGAACTGTTTATTTTGTAGGATTCTTAGTGTATATCAGTCATGAAAAAAATTAAGTTTATTTGATAATCGTAACTTTTCATTTTATCGTGTCTCTAAAAGATGGATGGTTTGTTTGAAAAAACGAACTTGTCTATTTTTTTTTAGAGATAAACGTCATAAAATGAAATAGTTATGATTACTGGATCGATTTAATTTTTTTTTCATGGATAATACACCCAGTAAACCTTACAAAATGAATGATTTAAATCATCAAAACACATGGTCCTCAAGTTCTCTAAAAAAGCCCAATCTAAAATGAAAAGGTCCAAGTGCACAGAGAAAACCAAATATAAGATGCACCGGGCAGTTTGTGCTCAATTCTTTTTATGCACGTATCATAACTGCTAGAAAATTGTAAGCCAGTTGAAGCAGCCACCTGCAAAATCGCAGGCATTGTTTAGCCAGCATGCCAAATTTATATGCACAAACAAATACATTTTTCCTTGGAAAATGATGTCACATGCCAAATTTCACCTGTTTTTTTATTTTTATAATGTATCATATGATTCATTATATTTACGAAATAATAGAAACCCACCATCATGACATTTGTTGTGTGAATCCAAAGATGGCATTTGTTGTGTGAATTCAAAGTGAATAACTGGTAAAATTCATCTTAGCTGATCCTGAGACAACACATTTTCTAGGTCAAGTGTTACTGTGCTCTTGGCAACTCTAAATTATATCATTTTTGAACTGCACTTTTGCTTCATTGTGAGCATATGCATGTATATATATGGCATGCCTCCAGATGGTTTTAACAGCGAAGGCTTTATTATGAATTAAAAAAAGAAAAAGCACAACACAATGCAAAATAAGGGTTTACTGAAATCAAAATAGCATCTGTTAATCGCCAACAATTTCCTTCGTTTTTTCCTCAACAAAGACAATTTTCTGGGACCTCTGTTTATTCATCAGCAAAGTTCCATCACAATCTGAACAATTAAATAACAATTTTAACAAAATAACTGATAACATCCTCAATCCACTAAACATGATGTCCCATAACCACTAGATAATAACACGAGGTCATCAATTGACACCTCAATAGCAAAAGCTCATGGCTGAATCTATGCTTGCTAAAACATCACCTTCAGTTTATTCCCAAGCAGCTGCATTTCCAACCAACCCAAAAACAAATACGGGCTGCTAAAAATCGACTATGAAACACAAATTTGTTGAGCCGGGGTTGGCGAATCACGAAGAAGCATAACCTCCCTCTTGACAAATGATGGCAAGGCAAAGGCAGCTGTGTGAATCTGTCAAGCAAGACGGGGAAAAAAATTATTGAGTTTCAAATTTTCTATACAAATTCAACTGCATGTTCCACTACATGAACAATGCTAACTTGCAACAGTAAGCCCCGGGCTTGGTATACATTATTTTTCAGGCACACGGTATACTCCCTCAGTCAAAAATTGTTTGTCGGGCACGAAAAATGAGAACACAATAATAATATATTGTACCAAACTTTTTAAATTTTTTTTACCAATTAAAAGATCTCTTTTAAGCACTTTTAATTTGTGAAAAAGAAAAAGAAAAAATGAAAATTTTGGCATTAGAATACATTATTTTTAAGTTCACATTTTCCGTACTGGACAAATAATTTGATGTCAAGGCCTTGTCCAGACCATCTACTGATATTATTTCGATATTCGTTTCCAACAAAGCCGCTATCAAGTTTAAAAGCCTACCAAAAAGAAGGGGATCCAAGAGGAGCATAATGACATCCTCTTTTTCTTTTATTTTTACATAATATAAAAGCACTTTTGCTCTAAAATCATTTGAGTCAAGCAAGCTAATCAGGCTAGCAAAAAAGAGTGAATCACTAATATATCCAAGCAAAGGAATGGATAACACAAATTATGATTTGAGCGATGGATTGTAATTACCTCAGAGTTGTAAAACTTTAGTTCTCTTCGATACTTGACTGCTCCCTCTACTTTTTCAATAGGATTGATAGGATGCATAAAATCCACAGGTGGCCCCTCCGTTGAGCATATAACAAATCCAATGACGCCACTGTATGCACAATAAAGAAACCATTTTCAAATACTCAATAGCATGAAACCTAGTTAAGAAACTTCTAGAGCTAAAATATTTTAGTAGACTAACTATGCCACTGCATCCACAATAAAAAAAACCATTTTAAAATAAGAATTAACCCATAGCATGAATTTGTTAAGAAACTCTAGAACTAAAATTGTGGAAAAAAATGAGACAATTTTTAGTGAGTTGATATTTGTACCAAGATGCTGCAGCCTGCAGTTCTACAAATTAAAAAAGAAAGGATAAATCGATAAAATTATAAACCAGACTAAGGGCTCCATAAAATCAAATTGTGAGGTAGATGGAAAACCCACACAAACATTCGCATTATAGGGTACCTTGGATATGTGGGAACGCTTGCCCATGCATAGTGGACAGAACCCTTGAATGTTTCACGGCAAATAGAGATCATATCCTGAATAAGATGCGTGTGAAGCCACATACTCTCCGCCATGTTACAAAGAACACCACCAGGTCTTAATGCTCTTGCTATTGTCTCGAAAAAAGGCTTTTCCACAAGTTCTTGGGCAGGACCTAAATCAAGAAAAGAAGCCCAACAAATAAATAGCTTTATTTCATTATGCATTTTAGGACATAAAACCCATCTCAAGTGGGCATAGAAGTTTAAATTGGACCCTAAAGTCATAGTGTTCGGAATTATATAACATCTACCCATATGCATAATCATGTGCCTATATTCCAAATAGCAGAAAAATCAAAAGAAAACTAAGATAACCTTCCATATTGTGAATACATATGTTCCTAACTTTTAAGGACTAGAAATATAAAAGAAAAACTAAGACACTTGTTCATCAATTTTTTATTTTTTATTTTTTTTTTTGCGCATAGTTTGAGATCATGAAGCATTTGTTAAGTAACATTATGAAAATAAAACAATTCTGACAGTTGTGCATAAGAAAATTTACTGAGTGATTATTTCAAGGAATCAATACTTCAAACTTTTGATGAATAGGTGTCAAAAGAATAGTCCATCAAATAATTCATTAAAAAGATTCAAAAAGCCCTAGCCTAGCCTTCAAAAAGGTACACATAATTAGATTTGCCTCCACCTAAATAAAAAGCACTGTAAAAAGGCAAATAAATAGGAAAAAGGAAAACAGGTAGAAGTGTGAATTACAAACATACCAACAGGGTCTGATGAATCAACAATAATTGCATCATACTTTCCTTCAGGTACATTCCGTAAAAATTCAATAGCTGCCACAATAATGAAAAGAAGATCAACAGGAAAGTCTAGCTATATAATCAGCTATACAATTAGGAGTGTTAATTACGTAAATTATTAATAACCTAGATTAATGGATCCATTCAAAATGGGGCAATAAGATTTCAGATGCACATATTCACTAAACTGCATATAAAAAATAATCGGAACATCTTTTCCACATACCATCACCAATATGTAGTTGCACACGAGGATCCTCAAAGCCAATAGCTAACTCAGGAAAAAACTTTTTACTAACCTATAAGCAAGAAGTTGTAGCAACATACTTGTTACATAACAAAGAACACAAATAATATCTAATCACATGAATGGGTACATCATTCACCACATACATCTATAACCATCTTATCAATCTCACAAATATCAATGAGCTCCACAGTATTATGGCGAGAGATTTCCCTAAGAACTCCACCATCACCACCACCTACAACCAAAACCTGCATCAAGTAATTCAATTAAATTTGGCACACATACCTAGGGACAAACAGAATAATTATAGATTGCATAAACATGAAGAGCAGAAGATAACTAGCTCCACCAACAATGTTTTCCTCAATCATTGGCAACTTAAATTACGAGTTCTCTTTCTACTTGTAAATATGATGAATTGAGGCTGAGAGTACATAGAAAGATTATTTGTTCACAATTTAACAATGAGACAAAAACATGGTGAATCTAATATTCAATTCTAAAATTAAATTTGTCATACAATGCCTTCAATCTAATAGAAAGAGTAAATTTTGCACACATCACTCAAATACTATTTTGTCTGAAATTCCTTGGAAAGAGTGTGCAACATAGTGATAATAAAAGGAAAACCATTTTTAAATTTTTTGTTCTTATTTTGCTACTTTTTATATTATAAAATTAAAAAATGAAAGGGTAGTAAACAGTGAGGAATATGGGCCCCTATAGACCCTGTTCCTCAACAACAATCCCTAAGGAAGAAGTCTTGTCACACTTCCCCAGTACTCCTCAAACCTCTTGGTAGATTGATAATCAAAGAGAGAATATATTTTTTTCGCCATAACAATTATGTGTAGTTGGACATTTAACTCCAAATGTATCTCTAAGTACATATGCCTATTAAAGTTCAACTACAATAAAAGAAAAAGCAAAGAATAGAAAAAAAGAAGCTGCTATGGATTCAAAAGGTTCCTTAAACTTAATTGCATTATAATTTCAATAAACTAAGTATGGCTATATGTCATTTGAAATTAAATTTGAATAAAAATAGAAACAATAAATGCATCATGAACTATGGAACCCATGATTTATGAAAATTAGGTCATGTTTGATTCACAAGATTAATAGTGAAATATTAATAATCCTATTAAATTAATGTGGTATTCACTATCCAATTGGATTAATAATCCCGCCCCTACCCCATTACTAATAATCCTACAAATTTGTTGGATTAATTATCCATTAGACTAATAATCCTAAACCAAAATGTTAAAACAAACATAGGATAATTGGGCCCACGGATTAATAATCTCAATCCCATGCTTTAATCCACCAAATCAAACATGCCCTTACAGTTTTGGGGGATTGAATTGAACAAAGGGGAAGATGAGTTATCATCTCCTGATAGACACATTCATCTTTCTCAGTCAACTGAACAATGCCATCAAGCACAAGAATTTTCCCATATGTTGAGGACTGCAAATAAAAGAACCAGTATCAGCAAGAAATTCTTAAATAAGACAATAAATGGCAGAAAAACAGAAAGCAAGTCATCACTGCAAAGACAGTCTACTACTAGGAGATGAAAATGCTGAACCTCAAAGACCAGAATTTCTTGGTACTCGGATTTATCCTTGTACAAAATCTTCTCTACTTTCATTGAGTGTGCTTCTCCTACAAGTGAAAACTCAAACTGACTTAACCATAGCCGTCGAATAATAAATCCCAAAAAACACTGACTAAATAAAAAGGGACAATTTTAATTTTTTTTTTCTTCATTTCGAAGGAACACCAGAACACTCCACTCAAGCCCGTAATAATATAAGCATAGGTAATTATCAACAATCAAAATTTCAATTACAATTTATCATATTGCCAGCATGCCTTACATTACATCTAATAAAAAAAGTACATTCCAACCAGCATGACTCTTTTCCCTCAAGGATATATTGACGAATGAATTATAAGTTTTCTGGCCTCTAATATGTTCCAAAGCTAAAATGATTTATCTAGGTGAGATAAAAAATGCAACAAAAATAACATATACCTGGCCACATTGGGTTATTGAAATAAACCCGCTTGCTAGCTTTACCTATAAAAATAGAACAAATAAGAAAAGGAGTCAACAAACACCACCCTTCGACTATCATCAAGCAAAATAAAAAACCTGTACTCCAAGGAAAAAAAGGATGTTTGAAAAAATGTCCAACGGAAAAAACAAAAGCAAAGAAGTATAAAAATAACAACCAGAGCATGATTCAGGTTCGGAGAACCATCCAGAAACAACTGTTGAATGGCATTTAGCCTCAAGCTCAGTGTTTGAAGCCCTAGCCTTCAAGCAACAGGAAGGGATAATAGCCTTATCCGAATCATTGACATTGTCATTCGCCTTCCCATCCATAATCTTCTGGCATTCCAAACCTTTTCCTGCGCCGTCCTCCATAGATTATCTTTTTCTTCTCCAGCTCCAGTCTCAAACCAACAAAAATGTATTCTAATGAGAAAAAAACATTGTCATCAACAACACTGCCGAGGCATCATCAATAATGGTGTCCACAAGCACAAAGACAAAAGGCAAATTTATTATGTGACCCTTTCTTGGATATAAATAAAAGTGAGAAATCCTAGTAGACAAAAATAAGCAAGTTTTTCAAGTGACAAATTTTTATTTATATTTTTTTTTGCTTATTCATCTTTTTGGATACAAATAAGCACACCGTGACAAAAGTGAGGAATCCTTTGCCTACAAAGAAAGACATTTCAGCTTCCCTTAATATTGTGATTTGTAAATGTTAAGACAAATTTTCCTTTGAAAGAACTACCAAAGCCATTTTGTTTTTTCACTATGCTTTAACTCAAAAGCAATACATTGTAACCAAAGAGGAAGTATAGCAATAATAACATTTAATACACTATCTTTTAGAAATAGAAAGCAAATCTAAACACAAGTTTACCAAATTTGCCATGTATTTTCCGAAGCAAGAACAAGAATTGCAATTTAAAATCACAACAAAAGTATAGCATTTAATACACTACCTTTTCGAAATAGAAAGCAAATCTAAGCACAAGGTTACCAAATTTGTCACGTATTTGCCTAAGAAAGTACAAGAATTGCAATTTAAGCATCAACAATCACACACTCACTTAAAACTATTTCAAGTAACGAAAAAGTTAAAAGAAATCCTCTAAAACCCAAGTTAGTCCTTCCCTCCTAGTGGCTTCAAAAAAATAAAAAAAATCGAAACCAAGAATTTCAGAACCATGTTAAAAAATAAAATAAAACAAAAAAATCTAGTAACGAATTTCCTTACATTTCCCGTCAAATTGAAATAGTTGAAACTTGAACAACTAAATCGATTGGACGAGAAAGCTGACGACAACAAGCCGACGACAACGACATTAAATTTTCAATTTCTTTTCCCTTAAGTTTATTTCCACAGATTTCTAGGGAACCAAACAGAGCACTAGGGTTTAACACACACACACACACACACACACACACACACACAAAAGAAAAAAGAAAAAAGAAAAAGAGGACCCGAAGTGAAGAAATTGGGGACATGACTTACCTCTGTTTCGACAGATTACAGGAAGAAAAGGAAAAATTCATAGCAATTGTAATCATAATCTAGAGAGAGCTATAGAAAGAGAAAGAGAAGACGATGCTGAAAAGAGAGATATAGAGAGAGAGAGTCTTGGAGAGAGATCATGCCTGATTTTAATGGCGATTTGGTTGATCTATATGCGTATCACTGTATATATATACACGTATATTTGTGTGTGGGCGGGAAAGACGAATCGAAGAGAGAGATTTGTTTCGCACTTCTCTGCTTCTCTCTCTCTCTCTCTCTTCGCTTTCGCAGGGGTTTAGAAGTGGAGCTTGTTTTTTTTTGGATGGAAACGACAGACAGAGAGAATTTGTTACACCTTTTCAATCGATGTCTACCAACGCATTTTTTTTTTTTAATAAGTAAGTCATATTATAATAAAAATATATATATATACAATGAAGTTTAATACACAGTTTTTGATGGGCGTATAAAAATAAACAAAATAAATTACTTCATCAAAAAACAAACTGAGCTTATAGAAAACAAACACAACATTCCCAACAAAATAAGGATTCAGAATTTCCTTCTAGCATTCTTCAAGTCATGAATCTGTTATCCTCTTTTGAAGTCTCCTCATAACTAGGATCACTTGGAGATGGACTCCTTCTATTTCTCAACTCTTGACTTGAATCTCCATTTCCTAACTCGTCCATATCACACGATTCAAGAACATCAAATGCATTAGATGTTGAGGGGATAGAAGACTGTGTCTCTCTCTCTCTTTGTTGATCAATAGTGTTGAACCTTGCCCACCATCTCTCCTCTTTTTCTTCACCACTTCCCATTTAGTCGGAATTTGTGTTTTAGTGTCCTTGACTCTCCACTCATGTTTGAAGGAGGGAGGGTTCAAACACTTTGGCTTTTGAGGGCACAAATTAGTGGTATGGCCAAAAGTCTTACAACCATCACACCTTTGGGGCTTCCATGGTACCTCAACTTGAATCTCATATGGGTCACCATAACCAAGATTTATTTTGAAAGACTTAGGGATCTCTTTATTTGCTGGCACTTCAATACAAATTCTCGCAAACGTAAGTCTGCTTCTCTTGAAAGTTGGCTCATCTAAATAAAGAGGAGTTCCCAAGATGCTAGCTATGTAACCCAAACCCTCTTCACTCCAAAGTTCCAAAGGAACATTGTACAACTTCACCCCATAATGACACACTTGAAAATTCACACTTTGTTAGTTTTAGTCCAGGTTGCCATTTTTTAATAACAATCAATCTAGCCCCAACATAATAGGGGCCATCTTCCAAGATTGTGTCCATAGCCTCTTCACTTTTTACTTTAAAAATAAAAAAACCATTGTCAATGGAGACAACGTCCTCAAGCAAATTTCCCCAAAGTTTCTCCGCCCAAGTTTTCACATAATGGAAAGAGAATCTTTTATCAATGAAGTATCCAACCAAAGCATTTTCCCAATGAGAAAAGCCTTTTTTTGAGATCTCAATAGGGACATTGTAAATGCCATCTACTTGGTTCTCAATCTTATGGGCACCTATTTTATACTTCAATTTTGACACCTTGTTAATCTCTTCTTTAATTAAAGAGCTCCCAACTTGTAGAGGTTTACCTGATATAGCAAGTGTATCCAGACCTTCACTACCATCTTCCATATGTAGATCAACCGAATCCTCATTTCGACAAGCTCGCACGGGCTTATCACTCTCTCGTTGCTTGAAACCCATTACTTCTTTCCTTTGATCAGCACTAAGTGAGCCAAATTTATTTGACAACATCATTTCGTTTGCCACCAATGGGGACACAGTGGTCAATTTTGGCCACTGCTCAACATCAATTAGCATTCTAGTTGGTGTGTTCCATACATTAGGTGTTTGATGCTGCTTTGATGATTGCTCAGGTGAGGCTTGCATTTTCATAGTCCAGCGAAACTATGTTGTACCAAGATCACAATCACACTCAATTGAGCTATCCTCCGAATCTACATCCCTCAATCCCCTCTTGTTTACATTTGAGGGCCCTTGTCACGGTCCCACAAAATCTCCAAGTGAAAGAGATTTGGGGGGGCCTCGAATGTGTGTAGACCGGCGGGGAAGTACATTAGGCATATCATCAGTAGATAGTTGATCCACCTGATTTACAAACTCCTTCAAAGATACCTTAGTCGAAGATTTGCTTTTTGATTTACTCTTGGCTAGTTTGCTCTTGGCTAGTTTGCCCTTCTTCAATGATAGCTTACTACCCTCTCTGTCCCTCTCATTGTCCTTCTCTTTCTCTTTCTCCTTAATTATCTTATGACAGCACAGTGACAAGGTTTCACTGGGGCATTTTGTCGAACAGGTAACAGGGGTATTTGGCCCAGCCACCGAGCAAAACCCAGCTGCAGGCTTCCACTCCACTGTGAATGGTGCCTAGACTGTGTGGTGGTCTCTCTCTGTGATGGTTCTTTGATGAGAAGAAAATGGGTAGAGCGTACCCGGAAACCTCTTTTCTTTGGTTCAGCTTTGATAAAAATTCAAGGCATATTCACGAGGTTGAAAGACTCACTCTAACCTTAGTTTCTTTGCCCCTCTCTGCGTCTCTGCGTCTCTGAGAAAGAAGACATGCTTTGGTGTTCGCTACTTTATCTTATTTACATAATATACCCATTACATAAAATGCTTTCTTCTCTGGCTACTATTGCTCTAACGAATTATCTAATGATGTGCCAAACAATTTGTTAGGCTGAAACTCGGATAAATTCGATTCGGTTGAAGTCTGGTTACTCAATTTCATCAGTGCATATCTTTTAATAATAATAAAAAAACTAAATCTTAATTCTTTTATTTTAGACAAAAACAACAGATAACAAAGTAAATTAGGAGATTTTTAGGATCTTTTTTTTCTTTTTTCTTAGCATTAATTTTCTAGTCAACTACACAGATTAATATCACATATTTATACATCCAACCAAAAATAAAAACATTATAAAATAATTAAAAATTCTTGGTTGTGTGAAGAAATTTTCATTACATATTAAACTCTTTTTTTTTTTATTTAAAAAAAATCCTTTTTTAATTGGCTAAATTTAACATTCCACAATAAACTCTTATGAACTAAACCCTAAAAACAAAACCTTAACTAAGAAAAAGTTGATGAAGTAAAATCTAATATTTTCATTAAATATGAACTACCATTGGGGAAAATATATTGTAGACCTTAATTGGCTAAATCTAACATTTTCATTATCTATGAACTACCAAATCGTTACCATGATAAAGCAAAGACACAAATTGAACGTCTTAATAGCAAAGACCCAGATGAGATTTCATTCAACTAATCAACTTGTAAATAAAAATACTAGGGCTTGTTTGGAAAATAGAAAGATGGGTTTGATGATAGAGGTTAATGAAGATAATGGAGATGGAATTGTTTTGGGTTCTGTTGGCTTTTTTGGCTTTCGAAGGTTAGTATTATAATTTTGAGCATGTCAGCAAGGATCAATCAGTTCTTATAAAAGATTAATTGCCAACCAATTATCAGACGATTGTGTTTCAATTCTTTTAGCCTCAACGAAGAGGACTTTTACTGGTGGCTTTGTTTAGGAGAATTTAGCAAACAATAATTAAATGAAGAACAATTGTAACATTTCATTAAGAAATGAAAGACTTACAATGATCTAATTTAGTTTCGTAGAGGTTTACAGCAACAAACTACTTGAAACTACTCCTATGAATGAAGTGCAGTACATGAATTTGAAGTACAGAAATGTACATAATAAGAAATATAAAAAACTGGAAGAAAAATAAAATAGATAAAAATTGATTTCTGGATCTGAGTCTCGGGGGTTCTTTCTGGGACCTTCTCTGTTATTTATACTTATCAATGATAACCGTCGAAATGAGCTTCTAACCGTCGAATCATCCCTCCATGATCGCTGATCATGTTTCCTCATAGTTAGCCCCACTATGCCATGCCTGCAGTTAGGCTTCCCTCATGATTTTGAATTTAAATATATGAGTAACCATTAAAGTCACGTCATCTTGCATCTCTTTGCTGATCCAGTGCTATGCAGATTCACAATAACCAATACTAACTGTCAAGTGTGTGATTACGATTGAAGATTTGAATTGTCTTCCCGTATTGCCCTCATCCTATCACGTATTGCACTGTGATTGGCCTGTACAAAATATGTGGCCAACATTACCCCCTACACTAATATACCAAATACTTGGTGATATTAGTGGATCTAGGCATTTTATCCACATCTTAGAACGTGCATGAGCTTTGTATCTTTTCAAAAATGCAACCGTCCTTCATCAATGAAACGTTTGCATTAAATTCTCTTCTAATCCTTGCACATTCCTATTATCTAAGTATTCGAAAAGACTGATATAGCTTTCAGGGCCAAGCAAACCTTTTCTTACATTGATCAAGCATACAAAGAGTTATTTGATAATGTTGTTCGTCCTCGAAAGAACCTTCATGCATTGATTAGCCACCTTTATCCGCCTCCATTTATGCAAGTTATGGAAGCTTTTGTAAATCATCGACCTTTGAACCAAGAACCTACTGCTTATGATTCTTTGGAACAAAAATTTACAACGATGGATATCGGAAGCTCTTCTTCTGTAGCAAAGCCTTTCGCATGGGATGAGGTTGCTGCTTCTTCTTCTTCTTCTACGACCTCTAGCTGGGGAACTTGGCCTACCCCTCTCAACCTCAGACGAGGGAACGCATTCATCACCGATTCCCTAAATTCGATGACCCTCTTGAAATCCCCCCAATTCCAAACGCAGTTCTGTAGTATATCCATATGTTCCTTTTGACCGTATATGTAGTCTTGAGGACAATCTGCTTTCAGCATGGTATATTTCTACCTTGCCATCTCGAATGGTTCGAAGTGTCCCACGTCCTGATGAAGCTTAAGGGATCAGTCCTGCACTTTTAGCCAAAAAAGCAAAACTTTGTGCCTCTGATTGGCTAGAATGTGTGGCCAGACTTGAATTCCCAGATTCGTTTAGGGAACCTCCGACTGTTCCTCCTCTGCCTTCCAATCCAAATTGGATTGATGAATTGAGGCTCACTCTCTCTGAAGGCCAATACTTCACCCCTTACCAGGCCCTAGTGCCTCTAACTCCTTATCAGCAATTTAGGGCTCAGACCCTGCTTGCTACTTTTTCCCATTTATCATTTGAAGCCCTTTGAAATGACATTCCCCACAAAAACTTTATATGGGCTTATGACATTATATCTCGAAGTCATCTTCTCAACCCTATGGCCCAAATAGAGCTTTATACTTTTTTAGACCAACTTCCTTTCCTGCTCAACTGGCACTTCAATGCTTCCAT